GACACTATTATATTAACCATTTGTGTAAAAACGTGGGCAAGATCTATTTATTTGCTTGGACATACATGAAAAATATCTCAGGAAGGATTTATAAAAAAACAAAGATAAAATGTAATTGCTTCTGGAAAGGGTAACTAGATAGCTAAAGGACAGGGTTGTGAAGGGGATTTTTCATCACGTATCTTTTTCTATTTTTTGAATTGAACCATGTGAATGTTTACTTATTCGAGATAAATTATGTTTTAAATAAGGCAGGAGAATGTAAAATAATGTGGAATATATTCATTAAAAAACTGTCAGCAGAAAAAAGGGTTATATAAAAATACATACATCCTGATCTCACCTTCATTTTTTTACATGAATAGATATGCATAAAAAGGACAAAACCCAGTATGTACTGAAATACAGTCATCCCCCCTCATCCACACTTCTGCTTTCTGTGGCTTCAGTTATCCTTGGTCAACCGTGGTAAAAAAATATTATATGGGAAATTCCAGACATAAAGAATTCAGAAGTTTTAAGTTGAGCGCTATTTCTGAGTAGTGATGAAATCCTGTGCATTGGGCTCCTTCCTGCCCAGGACGTGTGCTCTCCCCCTTTGCCCAGCGTCTCACGCTGTACACACTCCCTGACCGTTAACCACTTGGTAGCCACCTGCTTGGTTATCACATCGACTGGGGAGGTATCACAGTGCTTGTGTTCAAGTAACCCTTATTTTACTTAATCATGACCCCAAAGTGCAAGAGTGGTGATGCTGGCTATTCAGATATGCCAAAGGGAAGCCGTAAAGTGCTTCCTTTAGGTGAAAAGGTGAAACTTCTTGACTTAACGATCTCACATCATCACAAGAAGGGTGAGTACGTATAATATATTTTGAGAGAGAGACCACATTCACAGAACTTTTGTTAGAGTATGTTGTTATAATTGTTCTGTTTTATTATTAGTTATTGGTATTAATCTCTTACTGTGCCTGATTTATAAATTAAACTTTATCATAGATATNGCCACGCCATTGAAGGAGGTGGGTGGGTGATAAAGACAGGGGGTAGAGGGACCTCACAAGGAACTCAGAACCAATGCTCTGTCCCTTTAGGGACTGAGAAGAGCCCACTTTGCAGTAAGGCACTCTCAGATATACCGCCCCCATACCTACCTATTTAGTTCTCTAAAATGTCCTTCTGAACAATCCACTTCCTGAGTTAAAGCATGGAGCCCATAGGTCATTTTTTAAAGTTATTCATAAAGGAAGTCATTCACTTATTCATTCATTCATTCTTCAACAGATTGAGCCTCCATTAGATGCCAGCATTGGGCTTGGAACTAGGGATATAATGTAAACAGAACACACGTGACTCCTATCTACCCAATCCTACAGCCTAAAAGGGGAGGAAAATAATAAATTGCAAAATGCTGTGATTAGTACTAGGACAAGAGAATTAAAAGGTGCTAGAAAGAAAACATAGTAGGGGTCCCTCACCTTGTCAGAACATTAGGGAAGGACTGAGAGCTATGCTGAGTAGGAGTTAGGCAAGCAAGGTGGGGAAAGGAATTGGTGGAGGGATATCCCAGGAGGAGCTAATAGCAGGTACAAAGGTCCTGAGGTGAAATATCAGGCTGCACATAAGGAACTGAAAGAAGTATAGAATGGGAAAGAAGAACAATAAATGATCGTTTTAATAATAGACCAGGTATACAAAAACAAAGAAATTATACTTTAATTTTATGACAACCAACCAACACATTCCCCAGTCAGATCTGTTTCCTCCTTGAAGGGGTGAGGTAGGGAATTTATATGAAGGCTCAGGGAAGGTTTCTAATCTTATTCTCTGAGTTGGGAGGCCAGAGAACCAGTTCGTAGACCTCTCTGCTCTTGGATTTGGAACTGTTAGAAACTGCGTAGAGGAGAGGAAATTTTAGAAACTTGCCTATCAGCTCCACGCTAATTTATGGTTTCCCAGGCAACTCCCTGCATTACTAAGTAGCTCGAATTGACATAAACTTTGGGCAGAGCAATTTAGCAACACATGGTAGTTCCTGGCATTTTCCTCTTTGCTCTCAGCTCCATTTTTGCTGTTCCATGCTCTGCTCTGCAGGGCCATCTACAAAGTTTTCAGGGCCTATGCAAAATAAAAATGCAAAACCCCTTGTTCAAAAAGTATTGAGAATTTCAAGAGCGTGACAGCACCAGGCCCTTCTAAGAACAGGACCCTGTGTGGTTTCACAGATCAAATGTCCATGAAGCTGGCCTTGCTGCTCTGTATCACATTGGAGCTCGACCCTGCAAACTACTCTTCCAGACTTCTTTGCCATCTTGCTTCTGATTAGGTTCAATCAGCATTGGTGGGGCAGAAGGGGCCACTGGAAGGCAGGAAGAAAGAAGGCATTTGTATCCCTCTCTGCTTCTGGATACAGCTGAAGCAGTGCAGCATCCTTTGGTGGTTCCAGCAGCTGCAGCGGCGGCTGACTATGGTCCTAGCATTCTGCAGTGACTCTAGTGGTAGCATCAGTGATTTCAAGAGCAAACACCATCTTCATCACGTTCAGCAACGAG